TGTGTCAGTGATTCTGTGTGTCCCCATATGTCAGTGATTATATATGTATCCCCATGTGTCAGTGTTTATGTGTGTGTCTCCCCTTGTCAGTACCTATATGTAAAACATATCAATGCTTACTTGAACCTCTTAAATGTCAGGAATCTCCTGTTTATCCTTCGCCTTTGTTGTCAGCCATGTAATGTGCCTAGCTCAGTAATTTTATATATTCCTGTCAAATACTAGTATTCTGCCAGGATTTCTTCACCTCTTAAAAAAATATAATAATGCCATTCAGTTGCCTGTGTTTATCATCTGAATGTCATTTTTTGAAAAGGTTAAGTAAACTTACTCTTAACATTTGTGACAAGTGAAGTATTGCCTGGACTATCTTTGTTCTCAGTTAATTATACTGTTTTGTGTCTAGCACTGGCCAGTTTAGGTGTATATGATGCAGCAACTTTTGAGAGACATGCAGTTACTGAAATGATAGCTGTGGTATGTTAATCTCAGTATGCTTTCTCTCAGCTCTGTGAACTAGAGTACTGCAGAGGAACATGACAATATGTCATTATGTTGTGACAGGTGGAGTCCTGCAGAGGTAACTGATGGGATTCTTTGTATAAGGATAAGTGAAGCAAAATGATGAGTTTTTATTTTACATTCTAAGTAAATTGAGACATTTTAAGTGCCATTGGATAGTCAGGGCTGTATTTTATTTGTCATTCAAGTGGCTGTGTTCAAAGACATTAAAGCCTTGACGAAAACTGTTTTTTCCCATTTGCCAAAAAGCTACATATCCCATGATTGTCAGTAAAAAGGAGTGCACACGCTGTGTGCTTGCATCAAAGTGAATTATTAAAGTCAAACATACAGTCAATAGTTGGCTGCCCTGGTATCCTATCCTGCAGGAATGATGGTGATTAGTCAGAGACTCATTTTTAAAATATTTGCATTTTAATGTAACTTCTCTGTTGAGCAACCGTAATATATAATCTTTCCTCCCTGTCACTCAGATATATTCTCTCCCCTCTTCCTTGATCTCTACTCCCTTCTGAAGCACCCTATTTGTAGATCCCCCTCCTTCCACCGAATGTATGTCTATTCTTTTTACTTTCAGTCAATACCTGACAATCCATACTGTCCAGCATGTAAGAAATTGACTAAAGCATCCTACTGTACCTCCAGTCTCTAATATTAAATACTGACTTGGACATTGAAACGTATAAGATTCCAAAAGGGATTGTCAGGATAGATGCTGGAAAGCTGTTTTACCTGGAGAGATTATACTCCTGAGAGTATAAAGGGTTAACCATTCAGGAACATGAAAGGAATTTCTTCAATTTGGGGTTGTAAATGCTAAAAATTCTCAACCCTGGAGGACTGTGCACGTTCAGTTATCGAAAATGTGCCAGCTGAAATGAATAGATTTTTGGACTCTAAGGGAATTGAGAAATATGGGGATCAGGTGGGAAAATGGGGTTAAGGTTGAAGGTCCGCTGTGCTGTTGACAGGTGAAGCAGGCTTGATATTCTGTACGACCTAACCTTAGGTCTTATGTATCAAAGAAAGGCAGATTAAAAAAAATTAATAACACAGCAAATTCATAAAGATTTGAAGTACCCTTAAGCAAATTGATGGTGAAGTAAATGACGTGGGAACAGTAACCAAGCAAGGGATCTTAAATTCAATAGGGCAGTATGACAAGACATTGATCAGAAGAGAGAGCTTCATACGTTATGACATTTGTTAAGTAAAGAAATGGACTGCATAGTGACTGGACAGATCCAATGGGCAAGAGTAACGTGGAAGATGAATCAGTAGAATGCATCAGTGATTATTTTTAGACCAGTACATTGCAGAACCTACCTGGTAACAGGCTATTTTGGATCTAGCAATATGTGTTGAGGTAGGATTAATAAGGAATCTCATAATTATGCATCCTCTGGGGGTGGGTAGCGATCTCAACATGTTAACATTTCAAACATTTTGAGGTAGAGCAATTCTGGAGTCAAACCAGTATCCTCACTTGAATAAGGGAAATTTGTGTGATTTTTCTTTTCTCTCCATACCTCTGTAAAGTGACCCGGGAAAGTCAGTGACAGACATTTCAGCAGATATTTCATAACGCACAGCAAAAATTTATTCTGGTCAAAAAGAACTCAATGAGAGGATGAACTATCTGTGATTAATTAAGACTGTTAAGGAGAAGGTCTAGTCAAAATCTAAGCTATTCAAAGTGTTGAAAATTAGTTGGTAGGCCAGACGATTGGGATATTTTTAAGGGATCAGCAGCAGATAATTAAAAATCGAATGAAAGGGAAAGAAGTGCTTATGAAAGTAAATTGGCAAACAAATATGAAAACAAAAAAAAAGCTTCAATGGGCATATGAAAAGAAAGAGAGTAGCTAAAGTAAGTGTGGGACCTTGGAGGATAGATCTGAAGAATTAACAATGGGGAACTGGAAAATTGTAGATAATTTAAATTAATATTTTGCATCAGTAATCATGGTGGATTACATTATAAACCTCCCAACATGAACAGATTATCAAGGTGCTAATGGGAGGAAAGATCTTGTAACAGTTTCTATCACAAGAGACAAAGTTATTGACAAACTGATGAAACAGGACCACACAGTCTCCATCTAAGGACCTCAAAGAAAATAACTGCAGAGATCATTGGACGCATTAGTTGAAACAGTCAAGAACTCATTGGATTCTGGGAGGGCTCCAGCAGATTGGAATACTGTTGAAGTGACACCCTCTTCGAGAGGGAGACAGACAGACAGCAAGAAACTACAGGTTGTTGGGAAAATGCTAGTGTCCATGAGGAAGCAATAACAGGGCACTTAGAAAAGCATAACACAATCAGAAATAATTCCATTGTTTTGTGAAAGCGTAATCGTGTTTAACAAATTTGCGAAAGTTCTTTGAGGATATAACAGGCAGAGTTGATAGAGGGGAACTGATAGTAAAGGTGGTGTTTGGATTTCCAGAAGGCATTTGATAGGAGCTCATGGTACTGGAGTTAATGTATTCATGTAGATTGAGGATTGGTTAAAATACAGAAGACAGAAAGTCAAGTTTAGTGGATCTTGTTTAGGTTGGAAAGATTTAGCCGGTGGAGTGTACAAGAATCAGTCTTAGCCCTCAATTATTCACTATCTATATTAATAACTTGGAGGAGGGGAGAGAGTGTAATGCATCCAAATTTTCTGATGATACAACAAGATATAGGAGGAGATGAGGGCATGATCTGTATGGTGATCTAGATAGACTGGATGATTAGGCAAAAATTTGGCAGATGGACTTGAAGTAGGAACTGTGAGGTCACACACTTTAGGTCACACACTGCTCAAAAAGCAATCTATTATTTAAACGGAGAGAGAGACATCAGAAAAGTGCAGTGCAGAGGGATCTGGATGTTCCTGTGCATTAAACACCAATAATTAGCATGCACTTGTCGCAAATAATCAGGAAGGCAAATGGAACTTTGACATTTATTGCTAGGTGGCTGGGATTTAAAGATAGAGTGCAACTTGTTCCAGCTGTACAGTGTGTTTTTGAGGCGGCACCTGGAGTACTGTGTACAGTTTGGGTCCCTGTATTTAAGACAAGTTGTACTGGCAGTGGAGGCAGTTTAAAAGAGAGATTCAAAAAGCTGATTCCTGGGGTTAAGGGGTTGACTCATTGAGAACAGCTAAACAGGTTAGGCTTTCATTTATTAGAATTTAGAAAAATGAAAGGTGATCTTATTGAAACAAAGAAGATTTTGAGGGATCTTGATAGGGTCGATGTTCAGATGTTTCCACGAGTTGGGGAGTCTCAAACTAGGCAATATAGTTACAGAGTAAGGAAACATTCATGTAAAACTGTGATGTGAATAAATTTCTTCCCCCAGAGGATAGTGAATGCCTGGAATTATGTACCCCAGAAAACTGTCCAAACTAGACCATTTAAAGTTATTACAGAGGAGGTAGGTAAATTTTAGAAATGTCAGCGATTTGAGGGTGATGAGCAGTCAGCACAAAGGAGCAGTTGAGGCCTGGGATGGATCTTATTGAATGTTGAAGCAGGCTTGAGGAGCTGAATGGCCTACTCCTGCTCCTATTTCTTGTGTTGCTATAGATCTAGATGACGATCAAGAGAGATTGACTGGCTATACTGAAGAAATCTATGAACATAATAAAAGAGGAAATAAGATCATGGGTTACATTAGCAGCAGATTAAAATGAGATTCTAAAAAAGTTGTGTTGCTATTGTAACGCACATTGCTTCTCATTTGGAGGATTGGGTATCGTTCTGACTGCAAACTTGTGGAAAGATGTTGTTGCATCAGAGGGGCTGTTGAATAGATCTGAGTGTCAGGAATTCAAGTGTTGTGTAATGGTTAAGGATATTTATTTATTCTTTGGAGGGTTCCTGAATAAGTGCCTTCACTCTTTCACTCGAGGATGGCTAATCCAGAAATATTGTTATTAATTTGGTGATATGATTTTTAGAAGAGGGATTAAGGGCAGAACTATTTCACCCAATGTAGGAATGTGGAATTCATTTCTGACATAATCAATATAGAAGTAAGTAATACACATGTTTCAAAGCTACTCAAGATTTTCCAGAGAAAGTTGGGAGTGATGTGATTGAAGGGGAAAAATTTGGAGCTAATATTAAGTAAAAGTAAATAAGCTTGATGAACAAATGGCTTTTTGCCAGGTTGCTAAATGGTTTGCTGTAAACTGGTTAGGAGCTCAGTATGAGAAGGATTGTAACAGTGTACTGTAAGTCCAATAATTATAATAAAAGCCTTTGTGAACCAAACACAAGAGATGAATTGTTCCGTTGTCGTGTCACATACAGTTCCAGTATTTATGTCCACATCGCTCAGTGTACTTGTACTATACGTTCCAAAATGCATGTTTCTTAAAAACTGTTACACTCTTCAAATCAGTACGGTTATCTTTGGCTTTCCAGGAATCTGTTTCTGCTGAGCTAAGTGCACTCTTTTTTTGTTTTGTTTGCAGAATGGTACCAGTTATGGATCACTGGTGAGACACAACACAGAACTGCAGAAAGCTGTCAAGGAGTTGGAGCACACGTGCATAACACTTAGAGAGGAAAATACTTTATTGGTAAGGGCTGTGTGATCATTTTATATTTCACTCAGTACTGTAGGCACTTTCTTTATCTCCTTCGCCTTATGTCTTGAGTAACCTGTCATATACGTTTCTTTCCTCAATCTTCTCTTCTACTCTTCCATCTATCCATCTTTTCTATATCTCTCTCCCTATCTCCTTTGACATTATCTTCTCCACACTCAATCCATTTCTCATTCTTTTCTTTCCTCACCCCTCTACTCTCCATTCTCCCTGTCTCATTTGGCTGTCTCCTCCTTCTGTGTACTCCTTTTTTGTGTCTCTTTCTCTTCATATTGGAACCTGGATTTGGTGCCAGTGTGATACTGCACAGGTTCCTATTAATATCACTGTTCAATCTATCGTCATTTGCACATGTTTAGCAGGTTAGGAGTACCTCCTGTTGCCAGCTTGTGTGTCAGAGCACGAGAAGCAATCCTCAGTTATGATTGCATTCTACTTGCAACTGTGAGGATCACAGGGCCACAAACAAGTTTTTAAAATGTGTCTTTTTACTCAGCGGAAGAGCAGCTCTCCCGAGACGGAGGAGAAAGTGAAGCGACTAAAACGGAAGAATGCTGAGCTGTCAAACATTGCCAAGCGGTTAGAGGAGAGAGCCAGGAAACTGCAAGAAGCCAACCTTCGAGTGGTGAGTATTCTCTGTGATCCTGAGTGATTTAATGGTAGATCTTACTAAAACCACACATCACAACCAATGGTTTATTTCCCTTTTGCAGTTTCTACTACCTTTGAACTATGTGATCTCATGGTATAAGATATATCATCATCCAACAGAAAGCACTGTCAGCCTTTAGAACTCCACTCCTGCACAGGCACACTGGCAAACATAAAATCCTCATTTCAATTCTTATTTATCTATTTCTGTGTCCTGCGATGAACATATATCGAAATCAACAGTGAAAGCCCTTCTTGTAAAAGTACAGGATTTGCAGCTTTAATGGAGCACTTTCAATGCTGTTATTTCATTTTATTCTGTTGCTTTCACTGATGAAGAGAAAAAAGAATGTTGCAACTAAAGAATGAATAAATTTAGTTTTTTGCTTTTGTTTTCAGTACCACATTGAACATAAAGTTGATTTTCACAACTCTACAAATGGAAATCTATTTTCTCTGAAATAAAAATTGACAATATTAGGACTTCCAACAAGTCAGTCAGTATCTGTAAAAAGCAAACAGGTTATGATGTTTTGGGCATACAACCATTGATCAGATTTCTAAAATTTTTAGCTTTTCTCTTTTGATTTGCTTGTTGCAGCTTAGTGAAATTAGACATGACAAAGCTCATCATATGTACTCAAACACTGCTAACTGACTACAAGCTTTTGTTCCGTTCTCCTAGTCACCAGGGAGGATCAATTGATCAAAATGACGAAAAACAATTGCAGCTCAGAGCAGCTGTGTCAGCAGGAATAAGGCAACAAACATAGATTTAAGCTTTGGATAGTTTGGTCACAGCTGGACGCTTTTAATAGGGTTTATGTTTATGTTGTACAAGGACGATGGAGTGTTCATTTATGAACTGAAAGCTCACCCCTCAGTCTTACCACAGCCACTGAAGTGGTTGTAACTGTGAACTATCGAGTACTGGGTGGAAATGAGCAGATTGCTCCCTAATCCTCTTCACCTTTTCTTCTCTCATCCTTATAACTCACCTTTGACCGATCCTGTTATTTCTCCTTTCTTTGCTGCTTTCCAGATCATTTTCTGTAAGACATCTTGGTCTCTAATTTAAAGGTACTTTGTAAATAGAGGTGGTAGTGGTTGGCAAGGTTCATTGAGTTATGCAACATAAAAGTATTTCCTCATATCTCAGATATATTTCTTAAGCATTGAGTACAGAATTTTTACTTGCGTAGGCAAGGGCTGGTGCTGGTAAGTAAGAGAAAACATTAAAGCATACCAGTAGCCCAATGTGATCCTGCTCACTTCAGTATTTGGTACTTGTTGGAAAGTGTACAGAATATGTGTTCCCTGATCGGGCTGTTAATCTGGTCCAATTAGGGAGCCCTGGCTGACAGAGATAAACAGGAGTTTCAGACATCCTGCTCACTCTGAGAGCTGGATGCTGAATCAGTGTCAAGGGCTTTCTACATGTAAATAAAGGGTGACTTGACGATGGGATATTGGCCTCTGTGGTGTTATTTAGTGATTCAAACTTAGATAGATCTAAGGGGCCTCCTTCGGAATGCATTAGCAAGGACATTAGAATGGTGGTGGTCTTCTGAGCTTTACACAGTATAGCACTACAGAGAGGAAGGTTTGCATCTTGGAAAAAGGAGGATGAGTGAGGTCACCATGGTCCCTGCAGCCAGTCGTGTATTTACTTGAAAACCTCACAATGGTCTCATATAGTTTTAGTTCAGATAACCTGACGGTGAGAATCCATATGGTGTCCAGGTACTGAGCCACCTCACCATCACATCCCACCCCCACCAGCTCTCAGTCTCCATAGTCTCAGTCAGTCCATCTCCTTGACACTTTTCACTCAGCTTCCACACTGGTCATAGCAATTTCCAGAAGGCTTATAGCCATTTAGCAGGTGAGAGGTGACAGTGGAAACTAGAACTACAGTTTAAACTTCATTAACATTTTCAAAAACATTCACATGTGACATTGTAATAATCACACGAGTAGCCATGTTAAATTTAAGAAATCTTGCTTTTCCTATTACTTCCACATGGTGCTATTCTTGTCACTTCAGTGGAACAAGAGATAAGTTGCTGGTTCCCCAAATCTTACTGCTGAGCTGCCAGTGGCAGTCATCCTTTGCAATTTGAAGCCTGTGAAGGGACCAACAACCATAGAACTAAGAAGTTACAACACGGTTAACAGCGCAGGATCTTTGGCTTGGCAGCTTATGCTGCAGATCCAGGTTCTGAAGATTTCCCCACCTACATCTGTGTAAAGGCACTGAAACAAGAGGCAGCTTGTAAGGCTTTGACTAAATGTGAGAGTACAAGGAAATGTCTGAGAAGTGTGAGTGCTTTGGCTAGAGTTCTCACTTCCATATGTGCTTTCTCTATCTTCCATCTCATGGCCCATCCACAGTTCCTTACTAGTCAAGATTCACAAAGCAATTTCCTGCTCTTCAGGGAGGAACTGAGTGACCAAGGCAAGGATTTCCTCTATCCTTTATAAAGTGGCAGCTGAGTGTGCAGGCCGTTGATGAGGGTGTGCATGCAATTGTTTGCCTGCACTGTCTGCCACTCTTTCTTGAAAGTGAACATTGATACGAGAGCCTGAGACATCCTGGCATTCATGTGAGACAGACTCCTCAAATGTCTCTCTGCAGTGGTGCACACTGCCTGTAGAACTACTGACAGAAATGTAAATTGTCCAATGTTGCTCCAGGATTGCCGTGACTGTGGATGGCACCCAAGGTGCAACACCTTCATCTAGTGAACCACAGCCTAGTGTGCCAGCTCCCTCTTGTCGATACTTCTCACTGCTGTCCCTTTCTCATTATCTGATTCTGCTCAGTTGTGATGTGTGTACCTCGTCATGTGACAACTGAGCTAACTTGCATGGTGCCCCCACCCCCCCCATCACCCCCACTGATATGTATGTTTCTGTGCTGGTGGAGGGTGAAAATGTGATGGTGCTTCCTCAGAGTGTACAGCCTCATCTCAGCAATCCTCAACGTCTTCCTGAACCAGTGATCAGAATGTTCATAGTCATCATTATGCAGATGCTCAATTAGATTTTTCAAAATTTGCTTTCTAGGAAGGTGAATAAGTGGCTGAATGCTGAAAGGGTTAAGAGCTCCAATGCGGGAGCTTAGCTTATACTTTCCCACTACAGTGCAGTGAGGAAACATTAACAGTGTTAGATAGGTTGGATGTGGTGATGTGTCATTGTCAGGTGGGATGCTCTGCTTTCTCATTATTGTGTCCAAACGTTAAACTACCGAAGTGAATCTGTCAGCAGCCTGTGATTAAAAGAGGAAAGCTACTGAAAGTTCTCATTACTCAGTAAGCTGTCTGATGGTGTGGGAGGTTTTACAATGCTGGAGTCTGGTTAGTGTTTCCACTCCTCCAAAACTGCTCTGGAATCTCCAGGAATTGAAATATAATCTTCTAAAACTATTGCAAGCAATCCTGGAGAATAATCACTGGGACCTTAAAATAATTGTGCTTCATTAATTTTCTTCGAACGACTTTAGCTTGTGAGTTGCAAAATTTCTGAAGACGAGAAGAAAGCTTTATGACTACATGGGCAGTTGGAAGTAGGTACTTCTGTCTAATCGGAGTTGCTAACCTTGAGTCTGGTATATTCACTTGCATTGCGATTGCTGCAGAAAGGTGTGAATGATTAACATCCAGTTACAGTACCAAGGTACACAGAATGCTGGGAATGGTTCTTTTCTTTGTCTTATTCACAACTATGTTTGGTAAAACATTGCATAAGATACTTGTTGAGCATGTATCCCTGGGAGTGTGGCAGAAAGCATCCCTACTGATGTGACACAAAGCTTCTTCTCCATTTAATGATGATCTGAAAAAGCTTTCAGTATTTCTGTCTTTTCACAGCAGTATTTCTCTGTAATTGCATTTGGTTTAAAACATATCTTTCTCAGAGAGAATTCTCAACAAGCGATTATGCAATTTGCTGATTGGTGCCAAATAGCCTTCTACCCCATTTCACAAAAAAACAATTGCAAGGATCTGAATTGTGATTGGATTAAGTTTTCTGCTTCAAGATCACCACCAACTTGTCAAACATCATGAAATGTAAACGCAAGGTTAAAATCCCAAGACACATTTCTACATCACAGCACAACTGAAAACTCGATGTGCAGCAAGTTTTTGCTGTTGCATTCTGCATTACTGCCATCAATGTCTCCAGCATCCATAGTTCTTTGTTGTATCTTTGAAAGAATCATTCTGCTGTTTGCTATACTGGAATGGCAGCTTTCACCTTGTGGTGAACTAAAAAGTGAAACACAGGTGTGTACGGCATTGAGGGAAGAGATAAAGACACTGGATTGAACAGAGGAATCCATTGTTTTAAGGGAATAGATCATGTGACCTTGATAGTTTTGTCTATGACTATGTAACTGAAAACAAATGAAGCAAGGTTTGATCCTAGTATGGTCAGTGGTCCAAAGATAGTTACTGTATTCAGTTATAAGCATTCTTCTGTTTATGTCCTTCACTTTCATCATTGTTTATATCATTGACATTGATTTCAGAGTACTCAAAAAGTAATAATTCCCAATATTGTCAAGTCAGGGCAATCCAAGATGACACTTGGAGAAAGGCATGTGCAACTTTCTCAGGATTGCTTTGCATCTCTTTCCAAATTCTAGGAATGTTGCTTTCAATTCAAATGCCCTATGCTCGAAACCTACACTCAACATAGCATCATTAGGGTTGGCTTACATTGTTGCCCTTATATCTGTGCAGATTGACATGTTTAGGCATTGTGTAGATATGCAGTGGAAGCAAATAATTAAATAACAACAGCTGCAGTAAAGAGTCAACTTGACTTAGGTTATGATTACAACAGCTTAAGAAAGCATAAAGCAAGAACATAGTATTTGACATGACATACCTACACTTTTCCTCTGGAACTGAATTTATTGTGAATTCTGTCATATATTTAATCACCAAAGAAAAGGGTTGTGGA